AGCAAAGATTAAAAGCCCAGTTCCTCAGACGCAGGCTACATAAACAGCGATAAATTAATGTTTTCCACAAACAGGACATTTCTGTCACGAGAGGAAAAACTAGAAAACACTTCAGTGTTTTTAACTGTGTTTCACAGTGAAGGTTTTCTTTCCATGTGCTAAATAAACCCGTCTCTAGTCTAAGATGGGAATTGGGATGCTGGCACCAAGCAGCCATCTGACATCTAAAGATAAGGTTGCTGAGAGACCCTGTCAGCCAAGAAGCTGGTGAGGCAGTGACTCACCATCACCACCACCATCACCTCCATTGTCATCATTATCACCAACACCATCAAATATTTATGACTGTTTACTCGGCTGGAACATGCAATGTATCCTGGAGGGTGTAATCAAGTTTGACTGGTTCCCATGCATTCAAAGTCCCTTCACAGGATATCTCTCTTATTTTGGAACAAACAAAATCAGCAATTCCTACCTGTGATTTATTTAAAAAGAAAAAAATGTTAAAAACCCAGTGAGATCATGTTTAATTTTAAGTATAGAAACATGAAATCTGTGGAACTTGAAAAGCAGCTTCTCTGCACTACTTTTTCGAGCAACTCTTTTTCTCTGGCTAATAGAAATAAGAGAAAAAATCCTAAGCACTACAGAAAAGGAAGTGTTCGGGGTATTTATTGATAAAGGCTACTGAACTTGCCTATTCGTTAAAGCTGTTTCACACCATGCTATATCTGAGCCAGTCTACACTGTGTGATCAAAAGTAATTTACAGTATTTCTTTAATTTTCTGAAATTTATACAGACCTCCCCAACACATCTAAATTAGTGACAATTTGATTAAATGCTTGATTTGATTAGATGCTTCTGTCTAGAAAATGTCTTTTCAAAATCTGTATGATACTGTTTATATGTGGAATCTAAAAAATAAAACTAGTGAATATAATAAAAAAGAAACAGACTCACAGATACAGAGAACAAACTAGAGGTTACCAGTAGGAAGAGGGAAGTGGGGGGCAATATAGGGGTAGGAAATAAAGAGGTACAAACTATTATGTATAAAATAAATAAGCTACGAGGACATATTGTACAACACAGGGAAAACAGCCAATATTTTATAATTATAAATGGAGCATAGCCTTTAAAAATTGTGAATCACTATGTCGTACACCTGTAACTTATATAATACTGTACATCAACTATACTTCAATTAAAAAATAATCACTCAATCAAATGGACTACTAAAAAATAGAATATGAGTTTTTTTCACTGCCATAATATCTCATTTGTAACTACCACAGAAAAAAAATTAGATTGAAGGGGACTCAGCAGCTCTCCTACAAAGCAACCTACAAAGTCCTTTTGCAGCATCCTGAGTGCCTTGTTTCTTTTGCAGTTAAATGGATTGGCAGTTTCTCCTCCAAAGGCCAAGAGTCAACAGAATTCCACCATGCCTCTTCACCATACCCAAGAAGAAATACCTTTTATTTTGTTGACTTAGTTTTCATGAGGGGTAGAAAAGACATGAAAAGGCCACAGTGCTCAACCCTGGTTGTTATGAAGGGGACGTCTGTCATGATCACAAACAAGCACAACGTTCTAAATTCCTCCTGGTTACCAGCTTGGGGGGGGAGGTGGGGTGTGGGAGTGGAGGTGGGAGTTTGAAGACAGCAAAAACTCACATAGACAACACGACTATCATGTGATGTTATTACTCAGCATATCTCAGAAGACTTACAATTTAATTAGATGGCACTGGTATTTTCTAGATATTATTATACATTTGGCGATAAACAGATAAGTCACCTACCATTTCACAAGCTACAAATAAATCTTTTATGCAAACATAACATTCCACCTTAAATTATTCCCAAACTGAGAAATAACTCAATTCCAAGGGTCCAATTCCTAGAGGACATGTTTCAACTAAACCCAATAATCAAACAGGAATTAAAGGCCTTATAATTGAATAAACAAGATGACCATCTCCTGGTCACTTTTCAGATTGCCCTATGTTACTATTTTATATTACACGTTTACATTCATGAAGTAAATTTGATAGAAGGCATCAAAAATAATTATATATGTATAGGGACTTTCACTGGTGGTGCAGTGGATAGGACTCCACACTCCCAATGCAGGGGGCCTGGGTTTGATCCCTGGTCAGGGAACTAGATCCCACATGCATGCTGCAACTAAGAGTTCACATGACACGACTAAGGAGCCCATGTGCCACAACTAATGAGCCCATGTGCTGCAACTAAGGAGCCAGTGAGCTGCAACTAAGACCTGGCGCAACCAAATAAACAAGTAAATATTTTTTTAAAAACCTAGTGAATTTATTAAAATATAATAATAATAGTTATATACATATATATAGTACCTGGCTTTCAAAGAGATTAGAGGACTTACATACGTTTTTCATATACCCTGATACAGTATCTCTGAAAAGTAAGAGACATGCTTTTTCTTAATCTTCTCCATTTAGTTATCAATTCCTTTAAAGAGTTCAACACTAGAGAATATGTCTTAACACATGGTAATATTAAAGTAGGAGATGTCGGGGCTTCCCTGGTGGCGCAGTGGTTGAGAGTCCGCCTGCCGATGCAGGGGATACGGGTTCGTGCCCTGGTCTGGGAGGATCCCACATGCCGCGGAGCGGCTGGGCCCGTGGGCCATGGCCGCTGAGCCTGCGCGTCCGGAGCCTGTGCTCCGCAACGGGAGAGGCCACAACAGTGAGAGGCCCGCGTACCGCAAAAAAAAAAAAAAAAAAAAAAAAGTTGGTTGCTTAATGATCCCTTTATTTCTTTCCTTTCCTTTCCTTAGAAATTCATCACAAAACTTTGTTTACAATACTCCATACACTTCCTCTTCAACCACTGTCAGTTTCAACAAATTCTCTCTGTTCTTGAATTAAAGACTCCTGAGATTCATATTCCAATATAGTCTTTCTACCATCTGAAGACGGCAACGTTATTCTACCCTCAACTAGGATCAACGTAAAAATCACCCTATCAAAACAAATTTTATTAATGCTTTTAAAGCAAAATACAAAGTTAAGATTAGATTCTCTAGTATTTGTAGAATTTTATAGTTTACATCATGCCAGAAGAAATATGTCATCTATAGCCAAAAGTTTCTCAGTGTATATATATTTAAAACAACAATGCAAAGTTAAATCTATTTACTTGCTGCATGCAGGGCTGCTGGAGGTGCAAGCGTCAGGAGTAGGTAAGTGAAGTAAACAGACCAAACTACATAGCTCTTGGGTTATTTCCCCTATATGGGTTGGGATTAGAAGGCAGATGTTTTAGGGAGATAATGAGCCAATGTCTGTAGACACCACTCTACTGGTTCCATCAGGCAACAAGGTAATCAACATTCTGTTGCAGAAGAAACAGCATGAATGGCTCTTACACAAGAAAACTCAAATGAACTAGAAACCTGGAAAAATGAAAGTTACATATGTTGAGCCTCTAGATTATCCTAATAGTAACCTACATCTTATTTACCAAAAATAAGTAAGAGCCACTTAAAAACATGACCAAGATTTATTTTTCACTCCCAAGGAAAAAGATACGCAGTCCTAATGAAATGCGATGGAAACCCATTTCTGGCTGCAAAGAAAGCTGCAGAAGACTCCTAACTCAGTGGTCAACCAAAACAAACAAACAACAAAAACCCTAAAAAAAATAAATGACATTATTATCTATCATAAATTAATGCTATACCTGGTTTACTGGGAATCCTGACGTTTAAAGTTTGGCGTATTATTGCACAGCACAAGCCCTGCTAGTTAGGTGCTACTCTTTGCACATTAAGATAACGCAACTGAGGCTTCCCTGGTGGCGTAGTGGTTGAGAATCTAACTGCTAATGCAGGGGACACGGGTTCGAGCCCCGGTCTGGGAAGATCCCACATGCTGCGGAGCAACTAGGCCCGTGAGCCACAACTACTGAGCCTGCGTGTCTGGAGCCTGTGCTCCGCAACAAGAGAGGCCGCGAGAGTCAGAGGCCCGTGCACCGCGATGAAGAGTGGCCCCCGCTTGCCACAACTAGAGAAAGCCCTCGCACAGAAACGAAGACCCAGCACAGCAAAAATAAATAAATAAATTACTAAAAACTCCTACCCCTACCATCTTCTTTAAAAAAATAAAATAAAAAGGTAATGCAACTGACAAGAGTGAAGGCTGCACAAAGGCTTGAACTTTGCAACTTTGTTTTAATAGTAGAGACAGATTTGATAAAACAGCTCCCCTTCTCTCCTGACATCCCAGATGTGAGTCAAGAATTTAGGAAACAAGGAGTCAAAATCTGGCCAGAGAAGTTGACAGTCACAGCAGCAAAGTCTAAAAGTTAGACCTTAAAATAGTTTTCTTAACTTCAGGGCTACTTAGTGCATTAATAGGTACACTGTGTTGTGCTTAATCAGAGTCAATACAGAACACTGACCCATCCTCAGCAAACACTGACCTAATTTAATGGGCTAAAGACAGCAAACTCTGTATCTTGCTGGAGTTGCTCAGTGCTTCTCCTTAACTTTCTCCGGTGGCCTAAAGTGAACAGGCTCAGTCAGTGCTGTGTAACAAATCGAATGGCACCAATAACCCCCCAAACCTGCAAGGCCCTAATTTGTCCCAACCCCCAAACATTTTCCACTTCCTTCATCCTTCCTCCTCCAAAATCTACATCAATACCCGAAGAAAATATACCAACAGGTTTCCAAGTACCAAACAGTCAAAACGTATAAATGATGCTGTATAAATTATTTTAAGAAACCAAAACATCTTGCCCTACTGACGTTCAGAGAAGTCTAGTGCCAAAAACGAAATTAACGGCACCACAAATGTATTAGAAAAGATATTTCTTCAATAATCTTCATGTGATTTACTTCAAAGGGTGATCAGAAAAGATCAAAGAGAAAAAAAGAACAAAAAAACTGATGGACATGCAAGCAGTTATTTTTTTTCATCGAATTTGATTATAACCCTTATAGTCAACCTACCTTAAATTTAAGTAAGTCAGCGTCTGCAGATTAACGATAGCCTCCGGAATGACTCTGATACAATTATGATACAGATTAAGAATTTCCAGTGATACAAAATGGCACAATTCCATTGGAACTTCAACCAGTCTGTTTTTAGATAAATCTATAAGAAAAGGAAAAAATATCTTGTTAATAACTCTTCAACATAATCTAATACAATCTCATCAACTATCAATACTTTTTCCTTAACACATTTTAAAATAAACATTATCATCTACATGTAGATCAACACTATCATTTTTTGCACCATTGTTACTATGGCGTTGTGATTCCCGTTTCCTAGCGTTGTATAGCCCAATTCATACAGAAAAGCAAAAATACTGCTGAAACAGTTTTAGCTCTTTTTTTTTTAATAAATTTATTTATTTTTTGCTGCGCGTGGGTTTTCTCTAGTTGTGGCAAGCGGGGGCTACTCCTCGTTGCAGTGCACAGGCTTCTCATTGTGGTGGCTTCTCTTGTTGCAGAGCACAGGCTCTAGGCATGTGGGCTTCAGTAGTTGTGGCACGTGGGCTCAGTAGTTGTGGCTCGCCAGCTCTAGAGCTCAGGCTCGGTAGTTGTAGTGCACGGGTTTAGCTGCTCCGCGGCATGTGGGATCTTCCCGGACCAGGGCTCGAACCTGTGTTCCCTGCATTGGCAGGCGGATTCTTTACCACTCCGCCACCAGGGAAGTCCTAGCTCTTTATATTAATTTGTAAATTCAGGCCAGGTATAAGGGCAACCGAATCAACATTTACTTTTCGCTCCATCTGAAAATTATTTTTCCCCTGGACAAATGTGTAAAACTGAATCCTTTAATATATCTGAATACACATAGTTACCTTAATATTTCATTTATTTAATTCAATTTTGCATTCATAACATATTATCTCTCAGAACATGTCTTTTATACCTTTCCCAAACAAACACATAGTAGATACTAAAGTATTTCATTCACTAGAATTACTGAGCACGTACAATGTACAAGAAAGAGATAAATCAGTTGTGTCTATGAAAGATGGATACTATGCAGCATGACCTTCAGTAAAACTGGCTCCCTTGCCAAGTGTACCAAAGACAGTAATAACGGTCTACAGAGTAATGTAAACATACAGTACAGTTTACAGTATCACCATCTCAACAATAAAAATATGGAATCGTCCTTAACATCCAAATCTGGGAATGGTAAACATGATTGTGAAATGCCATGAAATGCTGAATATAAAAAAGAGCCACCAACTCTTGAAAACAGTAACTCAACAACAACAGAGCACCTCACCCTTATTTAGCAGGGGCTTAATCAGTATGAATTGAAGATGTTCAGTAAATAATATTTCAGATACACTTAAGGAATCACACTATGTGGGTGAGGGACTTAAATAGGTCAATATTATAATGAAATATAAGTCAAAAGGCTGACTGACCTTCCAATAGATAAACACATAAATCAACAAAAACAGGTCTAGATTGCTTCAGAGGGGGAATTCCAGGAAAGTTTTGAGGGATAATTCTGATTAATATTTAAACCATTTCAAACCATATGAAAGGAAGGGAAGTTTCCAAATTCTTATTTAAACAGCGAGGTATAATATTGATACCATCACCCAACAAAGAAAGTACACAAAAGGGAAACTACATATGAATCTCCTTTCCAAATACTGATGTGAATCCTAAATTAAAAATGAGCAAACAGAATTAAGCACTTACATAAGAAGATTAACATACTATGATTAAGTGGGACTTATTCTAGGAATATAAGGATTTTAAAAAATTATTTCAACAATTCATCATATAAAAAGAGTGAAAGATGAAATAGTATATGATCATCTCTCCACTTTCATCCTTGTTTTCCCTTCCCCTTCTTCTATGATTCACACTGCAGTAAACTTCATTTAAGGTCTCTGAGAATTTCAACAGGAAAATCACATGCAAAACTATCAGTTGTCCAGGGTCTGGCCAACAGTATCGCCCTAATCCTTTAATTGAGCTATTTTGTATTTTTCCAGGAATTCTTTTTTTGAGAGTATTATATTATCCACTATAAAGTTATAAGGTGTTAATGGTGGGCACCTGTCACGTCCGAACGTACAATGCTAGCCAAATGAACAGACCTCCGTGTCCACTGAGTCAGTGAGAATTTACCTATGCAACGCACCCCTATCATCCTGGGTTTGTGTACCGGTTTCTAAATTAAAAGGGAAGAAATCACAAAACCTACATGTAGCTTAGATTCTTTCAATGCCTGTATATCAATAGAAACAGTTGCCTAGATTAAATTAAAACAAAGCTGAAAAGCAGAAACAAAAGTTTTCCTTTCCTGTTTGTTTAGCATCACTACCCAGATTATTGACATTTTCATCAACATTTACTAAGTACATGATTTCTGCAGAAATGAAAGACACAGAGGGCTACTTGTAAAAAGTTTATCATTTGAAAGATGAAAGGCACAAACCCTGAATTGAACCATAAGGTAAAAGGTTCTAATTGTGCTTAAAAAAAAAGTACAAGTAAAGAGCTAAAATCCAGACGGGTAAATGTTATCATCCCTTGAGCACTTCCATCAAGCCAGGCATCATGCCTGGAGCTTTGCATCTAGTACCTCATTTAAACCAACGCAAGGAGCAGTGTCACCACCAACCTAAAGATGAGGAAACTGGCTCAGAAAGCTTATGTGACTTGTCCAAAGCCACAGAAATAAGTAATCATACTCACACCTAAGTATGTCTAACTGCAAGGCCTGACTGAGTTCCCCACGTGAGACCACGTGAGGTCATGATGCGTCCCACAGCTAGATAATTAGGAAGATACAGTGATTAAATCTTCACTGCATTTTTATTTGCCCAAAATGCAATAAAAACAGAGTCAACATGTTCTGTGTAAAGACTCAGAGGATAAGAAAGTTATAAACATTAAGTTCAAAAGAGAAAGTAATGAAAACAATATGTCACCTGATGGGCTAAATTCTGGAAGTGGCTATAGGAAACTTGGTAAGTAGAAACTCTGGCTTCAACTGCCAATTATCCTAATCTTACATAAGCACTCTGTTTCACTGAAGAGTTTAGAATGAGTTTTCAAATACGTGACTTACTTTTCCTGCTTGGGTCTGAATATCATTTAATTCTCAACTAACTTTCTTATTGGAAGAGAAAAAGAGGGTGCGAAAAAACGAGCAGGTCTGCTTTCCTATAATTTACTTAGGCTCATGCAGAAATCATCTTGGATCCTTGGGCATCCACTAACCCGCAATGGGAAAGATGCCCAGAAAGGCTGGGGAAGTCAGTCTGGATTAAGACGTTTTGACTTTGATAATCCAGAGTGGATAATCCAATTATAAACAATGGAACAAATGACATACTAGCTTGTTCAAAATTCTTCCTATCAGCTGAAAGCAGAGAACTAAAATGGGATCTGGTCCCTCTTTTAAAACACACACACGTACGTACACACACACACACACACACACACACACACACACACACACAGGAGGAGGAAGAGATCCAGGACTTAGTTGTAATTAAAGATGTGAGCAGACGGTCAGTTCATGGTGCCCACACAGATGTGAGTGTCCCTAACTGGGACTTTGAAAGGGCAGATCCATGCCAGAGACAGAGAGAGCTCAAGTAGCAAGCAGAAGCCTGGCTGTCCCAGTCATGACTACAGACAGACCAAGATGGGAGCAATGAAAGTTCTCCAACCCAGGAAAGACAGAAAGAATAAGAGCTCAAAGATAACAGGCAAGTGTTAAGGAGGCAATCTGTATCTTTATTTTGAAATACAACCCAAACCAGCCTGGACAAACGGGTCAGGAGCTGTGAGAAGCCCAGTAATTTCCGAGTGATAGAAAGATAAGTAAGCTTTTAAACTAGAGATGAACAGTGATGAGGAATTTGTGTTTCTTTTTGTTGTTTATTTCTCTAATTTTGTTATAAATACATGGAGGTATAAATGAACCCACTTATGAGCTATTTCCCTAAATAAAGTATTCGCCTAGCATTTCTCAATCTCGTTGGTATACTGGAATCACTTTTAAAAATCTGAAGTCTGGGGTCCATGGCCAGAAGTACTAGGGTGTGACTTGGGCATCCCTGTATATCCAGTTGATTCCCACTATCCCAGGGGAAACACCGGTGATGCACCCTCTCAGTTTCCTACCTAAAGCAAGACCCACCAACAGGTGGCGCTCTCCTAGGAGCAGGCCATCAGGCCCAGGAAGGGTCCGGTTTAGACAACAGGCTTGGGAAAGAAAGCCTGTGCCAATCCAGAGTTAACCACTGCTCAGTGAGATTCTTACTCTAAATTCCAACTCAACTGTTTTTTGGATACAATCAGAGCAACAAAAATCCGATCTGCAACGGAGTTTTCATATCATCGGTTGGCTACGATCAGAGAAAATTTGGTTTTTTCCTCACTGAATCTTCACCATAACCTAGGGAGGCAGGTGCTGTTATAACTCCCTGGTATGTGTGGACACCAAGGTCCAGAGAGGTTAGGTAACTCGCCTGAGGTGACAGAGCTAGTAAGTGGCAGAGGCAAGAACTAAACCAGTAGGTAGTTCTGAACCACTGCCGGGTCGGCCTTGTAGGACTGCGATTAGGGAAGGTCAGTTGTTCTTGTGCGTATCTCTAATTTAAAAAACAATAATAATAACAGATCCGTTTCTGGTGCCTGATCAGGAGGCATTAAATGATCCCAAAGCTCTGGACTAAAAGTAGGTGATCTTTGACCAGGTCCTAATATTTTCTCCAGGAAGAAGAGCACGTGTCATGGTGCCCGGTTGCCTACCCCCAAGCTGGACTCCGTCCTTCCTTGCTGGAAACCTGCCCGGCGGTCTAGCCTGGCCTTGGGGAGCGGGGTCCACCGCAGCTCTGGGCAAACAGCCGGGCAGCAAACCGGAACTCCAGAACCACGTCCTCCTCGTGTCTGCTTCTTAATTGAAACGTTCACATGAGAGCAGAGCAGCCAGAAATAAAACAATAAGTTTTGACCCGGCCAAAACAAGCTTTTTGCAAAGCCCTAAAATAAAGTAGCCAAAGGAATAAAAATGAGCAGAGGAGGGTAGAAAAACAGTCGGTGGAATCTGGTATGCAGTCAGCACCCTCAGAGGCACCGTGTTGTTTGTGTATAAAA